CGTTGAGGCAAGGTCTGAAGACAGCTTATATAGTGGATCCTCTGATGATCTTGATGGGCTGCAGCTGTGCAGGAGGCCCACTCAGAAGGATCCACGGCGGACTCTGCTGGAGAAAGGTGGAACTTCTCCAGCTCCCAACAAGAGGAAAACATCAAACTATCAAAGAAACACGACTTTTAGAAAAATAAATAAAAAAACTCTTCAAATTCCATTAAAATGATTCTTGTATGCTTTTAATAATATACAACATTATTAATTCACATTGGATATTAAATATTTTGACCCAAAAAAAGATGCTTGTCTAAAACAGTAAAGTGGTTTCACTATTTTTCAGAAAATATTTATGAAGGTTTGACCTTAGCTAAGGAGTTTGAAAAAACTTTGAGAAAATATGTATGTATGTTTAGATACTGACCAATTTATTTCTTGTAGTTATTGAATGTAAAAGGACAAACAGAACCTGAATAAAAGTCAAAACAGTTTTTAACTGATGATTGTGTTAATCAAGTAAATAAACCTTTTCAAACCAACCTGACTCTATGTTATAAAGTAATCACTCCTTAAACCTAAAACATTTTTCCACCTTGGCTGCAAAACCCGCTTATAGCTGGAAATTAGTGTTTAACATCACTGTGGAGGAAAGAGCTGTCTGGATTCAGACATGTTGGAGTGAAAAACCTGTTTAAGATCATAGTACAAAATCTAAGTTTTATTTAGATGAAGACTTTGACTAGGCTAGTCAAACACTTTTACTGCATTTCATTGAGTCATTCAGAGTAGGGGTGGGTGATATGGTAACAATGTTAAACCATTTCTCTAATTAAAACGGTTCTAAAAAAAAAAAAAAAGGGGGGGGGTGCATGCACTTTAGGCCAGACAACCTATGTGAACTACTTTTAATTTCAATAGAAGCAGTTATGCTAACACCTACAAAAACCATAAACATGCACCATGGCCCTATTGTGTGGAATGGCAGTATTGAAGCATTTTTTGGCCAGGCAGCTCGTACTACAAGTCAACTACTTTAAACAGGCGTTTAAACTCCTAGTTCAGCTGTCTTGAATGGAACCATATGTCTTGAAAGATAAAAGGCAGCTGCTTCTGTGACCTCTTCCCCCTCCTTGCTTGTCTTGCCATACAGAGTGCCTTTATCAATCTATCTTGTGTTAATGCGGTCTGTTTGGGTCCAGTGGCTGCCTCAGGCTCCCCTTGCTGTTTGGCTCTCAGTATACTATTTTGTTTGTCCCTTTTCATTTGGGGCAAAGCCAAACCAGCTTCATATAATGGAATTAGAGTTTTTCCTCAGTTTGGTTTCCAGCCATGGCTCTCCATCCGGCTGCTGCTACACATACAAACAAGGAGTCATGTAAGAAAGTGCCTCACTGCAGGTTTTCGCTTTAATTGGTCAGTCAGGTTGGCTACCTAGTGGGGTGTTGAATTAGAACTGCAATTTATAGGATGTGTCCTAAGCAATCCCATGATCTCCTCACTCACCATATTGTCTACATGTTGTAATGCTTTACGATCTAATACTGTCATTTTGCAGACCTCTAATTCAGCGTTTAACTTTACTACATCCTCCTGCTGTAGAACCCAAAGCACTTTGCGTTTAAGGCTACTAGCTGATGGACGGATGCTGTCCTTTAGGGAGTTATTGCAGAGAGCAGAGGTCATGCTTCAGTTTATTGCAACAAATATTACAGTTCCTGAAGAAGTAAAGAATCCCAGAACACAACACTAACACCACCATCATTTTGGACAGTTAAAATGGCAAATAAAAAGGCTCCTAAACTCACAGAATGGACACAGAACATTTGATCAGAACCAATTCATACTGGATCCTAAGACGCTTTATTTCCATCATCCTGCCTTAAAGCCAGTATTTGTTCCTCTTGATAATTTTGTTAGACTAGAAAGATGAGGCCCAGGCCCTTATGACCATTTTTTATGCATTTTTTTCTTCTAAATTATCATCTCTTTGACATTTCTTCTCAATAGCTTTAAGCTCATCTGACTGAGTGACAAAAAACTAATGTCTAATAATTATAATAGATTAAACAGATGATGCAGATTGTTTGATAAAATGATTTCCCATAAAGCTGTGTTTAAATGTCTGTTTATTTAACACTAAGATGCTGTTCAATTTTTACAGGCTGGTCTTGATCAGTAGTTTTGAGCTTGTATTTTCATAAGAAAATGCACAACTTTTTATTCTACAATGTTGTATCAGCTGTAATCAGTTTCCACAGTAACTAGAGGCTACAATGGCTTTCACTGGGAAAAAAAGTTTTTGGACGTCTCATCAACAGCTAGAAGGCTAACTGTCTACAAAACAGAGAAACGTAGTTATTTCCTCTTAGATGTCAAATTAAGAGTCTCAAACATGATTTCAACAGGATGCAAAGCAAAGGACATGAATCTGAGGCCTTCAGCTGTAGATCTGATCTGATCTGTGAAAAAAAAAAGATGTTTTGTCATTTTGTTGGTATTGATGATCAGACTAAAAGCTGGTTTAGCATTTTTAGGTTAAATGGCTCTGATCTATAATTATATTTGCTTCTTAAAGGACAAGAATGAAGTTAGGCTATCTGAAGTGCATAAATTCAGTTACATTATTGATCCTTTTTGTATCATTTCACAGATAACTCCTCACTAAAGCAAAGTGGTGAAAAAACACCTGACCCAGGTTCTAAAGACAAGGAACAAAGCTGAAACACCCTTCATCCATGTGTGTAACTGCTGTGAGTTGGTCCTCTATGGGAAAATGTTACGAACTTAAAGCTGTTTAACTTGAAGATGACTATTAGAGATTAAACTGAGATTTCAAATGCTGGTGGAGACCTAAGCAACAGTCTCCTGTAGGTGGACAGTTGTCTCTGTCTGAGCATAATGTTGAGGAAGCAGGAGAAACATCTGCTGACAGGAGAGAAACATGAAGGGATGAACTGGAACACTAAAGGTCCTAAGCCTGCCTCACGCTAATCCTGCCTTATGGAGAAATATTTAGTTCTTTGTCTTAATTTAAACACAACAGCAATAACTTTATTGTTTTGTTTTTCTTAAGTTTTATCTTTTCCAGGTTTGTGTGTGTTTCTTATCATGAGTTGGAGAGATGCTTTTTTTTAATCTGTCAGTGTTTCTGCAGGAGAGAGTCCATTTGCAAAACCTTTAAATAACATTTGCGTAAACATTCAGCAACTATTATTTTATAAACTATGTCTGTTTGCTGCAACTTTATGGTCTAACAAAGTTCTGGTTATATAAATATATTAATGAGTTTTTTTATTAGTGAAGAAATCAAACATTTATGCACTAATCCTGAATTATTTAAATTTATGTTTTGTTTGGGATGTCGTTGCGCTCTATGGCAGCTCAATTCACTGTATTACCACTAGAGGGCAGCACACTCCTCTTGTGACAACTCTGAAGTCTGTTTTTCACATCATGTCTTGACTTGATGAATGAACCAGCTGAATGTAAAAAAGTTTATAATTACTTCTATAAAATATGGGTTTGCTTAAAATGAGTAAAAATGTAATAAAGAAAAAGAGATGTCATGTGAGGAAAATTTCTGCGTTGGACCTCAGTCAGTATCTTTCTGCAGAATTTCATCCTGACTGCACTTTGTGTGAATAAAGTTATTGATTATCTCCTTTTATATTTTTTCTCCAGATTATCACTTTCCAACTTGATTTAAAAGAACATAGAAAAAAATCTCAGTGAGCTGAACTTGAATGTTAACTAGAGAGAAATAGTACCTTTTGTGTGTGATTTTGTTTTTTTTCTCTACATGTTTTTCTTTTTATAAACCTGCATAAAAAACAGTCATACATAGTGTTATATAGTCAAGTACTCAAATTATTATTAAGCTGAATAGAAAACTCAACGTGGAAGTCTCTTATCAGCTTTACCTGCCGACGTCGGGGCCTAGGCACCTCTGAAGCCAATCATCGTCCAGCTTTTCTTCTGTAATACCAGCTGAACTTCAGTTGTCAATCAGGTTGTTGCTTTCTTGTTTCTGAGGTTCCAGTTCTTTCCTTCCCACTGCACCATCTGAAGCACCTGTCTGGCTGCACGCACCAATCTTCCTTCCTTCTTGGTTCATTCATGAGACAGAGGAATTTTCCCACAGCTCTGTCTTGGACTCATCCTAGAAGGCTCATCCAAGCCTTCTCCCAGGCCCACTCTCAATCCTCTTGCACCTGTTACAGCCAACGTTCCATCCTCTTCTTCTCCACTTTCATCTACTATAGGAGGCCTTTATGTAAGTAAACATAAAAAAATACTCAACTCAGTTATGGTATATTTTATGTAAAACACTGACAGAGAGTGCTGCAAGATAAATAAAATAAACAATGAAGACAAATATAAGATTTCTTTCAGCACTTTGATCTGTTGAAAATTAGTGGGATCTACAATTCTTCTTCTCTTATTGGTTGGCTGGAGTTTAAATTAACTGGGTGAGAATAATGTGGGTAGAGCCCTATTTAACAAATACAAACAGTGATTTAGACGCCACAATTAATATCACAAAAGACGAAAAAAGGGCATTGAATGCAAACTGATATAAAAAGCGATGTTCACTGACCACAAAGAAGATTATTTTTGGGGGATTTTTTGCCTTTTACTGAGAGCTCTTACAACAGCGCATGAAGCAACACTTTACTTGGAATTTTGTTGTATTTTATGATGCTCTCACTCATAAAACTGCCTTTTTTTCTTTAGACTTTTTAACCAAACAATCAGTAAAAAGGTTGAATTGTGCCACTTTTGGTTTTCCTTAGGCTATAAATATTGAAACTAGCTGTCCATTCTAAAAGGAAACAGTATACAAGGCAACACAAGGAGTTTGCCCTGCAACTGAAGGGTTGTCGATTCAAGCCCTGGCTCTAGCTTTCAATGTCGTGTCCTTGGGCAAAACACTTCATTTGACCTACTGACAGTGGTCAGAGGTTCTGTTGGTGCGATATGTTGGTGGATGGTTTAACAAGTCTGCAACTATCACTCCAGTGTTCTAATGGTACAATGTGTTTGCTCATTGGCTCAGAAAGGGTAATTGATGATTAGAAAACTATTAAGAGCAGAAGCAGGCAGCTGGTATTCTATCGGTAATGGAGTGGCCAGCACAGTCACCAGATCTGAACCCCATTGAGCTGTTGTGGGAGCAGCTTGACCGTATGGTACGCAAGAAGTGTTGGGATCTGGAGGTTTTGTCCACTTTCTCCACCAGAGGGGGCACAAGATCTCCTGGAGGCATGAGCTGACTGCAACACCTGTCTTCAATCTGCTCATCAGGAGGCTTCTTCTTAAGGAGGCGGAGACGGACACTCCAGTGCCAGAGTGTTTGCCAGTAATGGTTAGCAAGCCTGAGCCAGCCTGCTTATCTGAACCTGCCTGATCCAGTCTTTTTCTGTCTCATAGATATTCCTCCCTGACTATCTGAAAACCTGGAGAGAAGTATCTTTCTGGAATCCGCCTGTCTGCTCTCAGAGAAACCCTGGAGGGTTGTTTCTGCCTGGAATCTGCCTGCCCGCTCTCAGAGAAAACTAAGAGAGATCTCAGTCTGGAATCCGTGTGCCTGCACTCAGTAAGCCTCCGCCCTCTGCCTGTCGACTAGCCTCTGGACCCTCAAGGTTCCCCCCCTCTGCAGCTCAGCTCAACTTCAGAACAGGTATACCCTCGTACATCAGAAAACCTGCAGTAACTTGGAGCAATACTAACCACTCTGTCCCCCCTCAGTGGAGAACCCCTGCGTGACCAGTCAACCTACCAAGGACCAGTTCATTATATATTGTGCTTCTTGTAAATAAACCTTTGAACTTTTTCTCTGCCTCTTGAGTGATCTCTGCATGTGGGTTTAGACGCCTAGATCCCATCATGACAAGAAGTGCCCATCCAACTAATCCAACTTGTGGGAGCTGCTTCTGGAAGCATGGGGTGCAATTTCTCCAGATTACCTCAACAAATTAACAGCTAGAATGCCAAAGGTCTGCAATGCAAAGTTTGATGTAAAAAAAAAAGTATTTCAAATACAAATCATTATTTCTAACCTTGTCAATGTCTTGACTCTATTTTCTAATGTCACAACGTATGGTGGTGAATAAGAGTGACTTTTCAGGAAAAAACAAAATTGTTTGGGTGACCCCAAACTTTTGAACGGTAGTGTGTATATATATATATATATGGTGCGCCATTTTTTAAAGTTAAGCAATCA